ATACCATCAGTGATGCAGGCTTCTGAACGGAGCGTTGATAACAACTTGGGCTATCCTTGTCCTCTCTGGTCCGGATGACATGGCGTCCCAGTGTTCCATAAAGAACTTCAAATCGTGACTCATCTGACCACCGAACAGTCTTCCATTTTACCACACTCCATTTTAAATGACCCCTGGCCCAGTGCAAACGCCTGATCTTGTGGAGCTTGCTTGGAAATGGCTTCCTCTTTGCACTGTAGAGTTTCAGCTGGCAACGGCAGATGGCACGGTGGATTGTGTTCACTGACAATGCTTTCTGGAAGTATTCTTGAGCCCATTCTGTTATTTCCTTGACAGTGGCATTCCTGTTTGAGGTGCAGTGATGTTTAAGGGCCCGGAGATCACGAGCATCTAGTAGAGTTTTACGGCCTTGACCCTTACGCACAGCGATTGTTCCAGATTCTCTGAATGTTTTGATGATATTATGCACGGTTGATGATGATAACTTAAAAGTCTTTGCTATTTTACACTGGGTAACACCATTCTGGTATTGCTGCACTATCTTTCTGCGCAACAATGGTGGAATTGGTGATCCTCTTACCATCTTGGCTTCTGAGAGACACTGACACTCTGAGAAGCTCTTTATACCCAATCATGTTGTCAATTGACCTAATTAGTTTAATTGGTCTTCCAGCTGTTCGTTATATGCTCAATTTCCTTTTTCCAGCCACTTATTGCTACTTGTCCCAACCTTTTTGGGATTTGTTGGCACTGTGAAATTTTGAATCAACATATTTTTCCTTTAAAATGTTACAATTACTCAGATTAAACTTTTGATCTGTCATCTATGTTATATTACGAATAAAATATTGACATTTGCCATCTCCACATCATTGCATTCAGTTTTTATTCACAATTTGTTTAGTGTCCCAACTCTTTTGGAATCCGGTTTGTATTAAGAGACTCAGAGTTTTTCACTTTTATGAATACCAAAATCAATGTCCATCTGGAAGTAAATTTAAATACCTCGTCACATGCAGATATATGGGAAGCGCTCAAAGCTTATATGAGAGGGCACATTATTTCACGTCTCATATAAAAATTTACAAAAAAGAGAGCAACTTTTTCAGTTAGAAAAGGATATAAGGATTTTAGAGATTGACCATTTGCGAACAAAACGAGCAGAATCACTCAGTATTTTAAAACAAAAACGGATTTTATATGACAACCTGTGTTGTGTACAAGTAAAGCTGAAGCAGCAATGGCTAGAATAAAATACCATTACTATGAATTTGGCAATAAAACAAGCAAACTACTGGCATGGCAGATAAAAATGGAAGATAATGAAAAAACTATTCAGTGTATTAAAACAGATGATGGTAGATATTTAGAAAAAGCAAGAGACATAAATTCAGAATTTAAAAATTTTACCAATTGTTATATAAATCCGGTCTTGATAACCAAAATGCAGGAATAAAACAATTTCTGTATCATTTACCTTTACCTAAGATCAACTCAACTGATAAAGACATGCTAGATAATGAAATATGCGAAGAGGAGGTTCTCCTTGCTGTTAAATCTTTACAAAATTATAAAGCCCCAGGGCCCGATGGCTTTCCCATTGAATATTTTAAAACCTTTTCAAATAAATTATTAACTCCCTTCACAAATATGATAAAGGAAGCGTTCCAAAGAAAAACACTTGCTCAACCTTTAGAGCTAGCAACAATAACCTGATGCATGCTCAATAATCCAGGTAGAAAAATCTAAAAAAGTTAAATCTGGTCCTCTGGACATTCAAAAAAACAAAACAAAGCAAAGCAACAAAAAATTGTAGAAACATTTCGTCTTTCATCCGAAAGACTTCCTCAGTCTGAGGTGCTGTATTCAGCTCAGTCTCTTAAATAGCACCCAGTAAATAGTAAACAGCCATCAGTGTGCTAATGATCCATCGTTAGTCTGATGGTCCTTCTTGACCATGTGATCAGCTGGTTTTGGTTGTCAGCAACAAAACTGGTTGATCCACTCTGAGAAGGTGCTATTTAAGAGACTGAGCTGAATACAGCACCTCAGACTGAGGAAGTCTTTCGGATGAAAGACGAAACGTTTCTACATTTTTTTGTTGTTTTGCTTTGTTTTTGTTGTTTTTTATGAATGTCCAGAGGACCAGATTTAACTTTTTTTAGATAGCAACAATAAAACCTAAACTCCACCCTAAACTCTGTTCTCCACCTCACTGAACCATCACCTCTGGAAGCCTCGACTGAGCTGTGCGACAACTTCTTACATTTCTTTTTGGAAAAAATTGCGACCACCAGGGCTCTCATTTCCCCTCCAACTCATGACCCATCCATCCCATCTCAATCTGTAGCTCCATTTGACCATTTTGAACCCATCACTCTTATCTTCTCTAGAGCAGGTCATGTGCAACTTGAAACCTTCTGGCTCCCCCTTTGATGTGGTCCCCCCTCGACTACTAAAGGAGGTGTTTCCAACTCTAGGTCCGTCCATTCTTGCCATAGTAAACAGTAGTTTATCCACTGGCGTGTACCAAAATCCTTTAAACATGCTGCTGTCCAGCCTCTCCTGAAAAAAACCAAACCTTGACCCCTCAGTCGTGTCCAACTTCCGGCCTGTCTCCAAACTCCCATTTGTTTCTAAAGTACTGGAGAAAATAGTCGAGTCCCAGTTGAAGTGCTTCCTGGAGGATCACGCCATCTTAGAGCTTTTCCAATCTGGCTTTAAACCTCTCCACAGCACTGAAACTGCCCTGCTGAAGGTCTTTAACGACATCTTCAGATTCATAGATACCGGTGATTCTGTGCTGCTTGTCCTGTTGGACCTCACAGCCGTCTTTGACACCATCGACCATGAGATCCTCATTGCTAGGTTGGATCAGTGGGTGGGCGTCACAGGATCAGCCCTCAATTGGTTCAGATCTTACCTCACTGACAGATCCTTTTGTGTCTCCATCAAGGATTTTAGTTCTGCAGAGGCAGAGCTTAAATGGGGGGTTCCGCAGGGGTCCATCCTGGGTCCCCTCCTATTCTCTTTATACCTGCTGCCGCTTGGTGCTATTTTCCGGAAACACAACATGTCCTTCCACTTCTATGCCGATGACTGTCAAATTTACTTCCCCCTAAGACCCAATGGTACATGCTCTATTCAACCGCTGCTCAACTGCCTGGCCGACATCAGGGACTGGATGGCTTTAAACTTCTTAAGTTTCAATGA